TGTCATCAGTCAACGGCTATCACAATATACTGGTCAGGCAAGCTATCGACATTCACAAACATCCAGATAACTTCAACAGCAAGGAAGAGACCCTCACACTCAACCCGATCTGGCACCCGATCCTCAGAAACAACCGTGCAGTGCCGATCGACATCCCGAAGCCAACCGAAGCGGAACAAGCCACGTCTCCTACCCTCCGGTATATACGTTATACAACAACAAGAGAAATCGTCTATCTACATCCAGCATCGGAAATGGAAGGACCTCTGAAGAAGCTTGCCACTCGTGCTAGCGAAACGTTAAGAAGAAATTCCAACCGGCGACGGCCTTTAGACCCGAATCAAGACAGCTGTTTATTATTGCAAGAAAATAAGAAATTATACTTCGGCCTTCAACTCATGTGAACTGTCGGCATGCCACAAATCTATAGCAGTACACACAAGTACCTTACTGGAGACATGATACTATGGAAATCAAGGAGGCCATAATGGCGTCCTACAATTGTAGGAACGACCGACGATACGGCCCTAAGTGTAGTGGTATCAGCGTAATATTTTTGAAATCCGAGATAAAAAGAATGTGCAACCCCTGACTCTACCAAACTCTACAAATAAGATGTATTCTGAAAGAAAAAAGCTAAAGAAAAATAAATTTGATCACGTTATGGCGCTGGCTAAAAGCTATGTGCCACAATGTGTTCAGTGGCTCTATGAAGAAATCAGAAAATACCGTCACAGCTTTTCGCGAAATGATAAAGGAACTTCCGCATCAAAATTCGGTGAAGATGAATGAATGAAAATATTTCAAGTTTGTATCAAACGTTGAATAATTAGACTATGTATTAGTTTATTTTGTTCATTAAATTAACAAAAACTAACATTTTTTAAGTCAAAGTTCGTTTTATTTTGATGTATGCATAAAGCAGTCAAGTTCATTATTCTTTCCTTCATAGCCGATTTATTCTTCATTTACAGACTGATATAGTTAAAAAAATACGCAGCAGAATAATCAGCAATTGACAACAAATACGAACATTTTCAGTAATTATCTAAAAATTTACATTAAAGATGCTTCTATGCTTAATCGACATTTTTCCTCATGTGACTTGACTGGTTTATGCATTGGACACCTCAATTATCATAATTATGTTTACATTAGGCATAATGTTGTCAAAATCACCTGAGCACTTTTGTTTAGCTTGGCTTTCTCTGAATTTAAGAAATTTGTCTTTTATCACCTGTTTTAGTCAAGTTTTGATACTTTGATGTATCAGTATTGAGTCAGCTATAATTGCATATTACTATCTCGAGGTGTGCTGCTTGGCCTGTTAAATTACCGGATAAAATATTGAATGTCAACGAAGTGATGTTGGAAAGCACAGTAACAATGCAGAATATAACGTACATACTGGAATATTGTATAAATACGCTTCTCAAAACCAAAGCTCTTATCAAGGATTAAAACTGCATCAAAAATGCTGAAATGACACCGAACAAAACCATAGTAAAACAATCTGTCGAAGTGGATGAAATTTTGCAGAATATCTGCTGATCAAAACAATGGGCCCAACATCCGGCTATCCATAGTTTTCAAATTAGGACCTTCAGAGTTCCCAGAATAGGAATCACTCTCTCGCAAATCCATGTTTCGTTTTAATAATATCACCTGATATATTTTGGTTTTCGAGGTCTCCGAAAGCGATTATCTTATTTGTTCAACCTCGCAAGTTCACTTATATGTGATTTCGAGGTCTTTTCAAGGTCACTTGAAGGTCGAACCATGTAAAATGCTTAAAAACTCGAGCAAAGCACTAGCAGCTTTCCGATAATTTTATTCATGACCATGCAAATAAGACAATAGGTCTCCGCGACCCCGATAACCTGCTAGTGTTTTGTTCATGTATGTTTGATTTGATTTGACCTACAAATAACCCTGGAACGACCTCAAAATGATCTCTAAGTGACACTGCGAGGTTAAGCAAATAAGTTAATGAAGTTGTGAGACAAAGTGAAATGTTGATTTGCGAAAGTTATTCAGTTTTATCTTCTCTAAGATCTCCGAAAGTTTGATATCTAGAGAAATTGGCATTACCGGATTTTGTGTCGATCGGAACTTCATATCAGCAAACAAGAAATTGAGTTTCTGCAAGATTTCAGCCACTTCGACAGATTTTTCCCATTGGTTGTGTGCGTAGATAAATTGCTCTTTGTTACATTTTGAACATTTTGGAAATACATTTACGCTATTTTAAATCAAAGTCCCACATTTCGGTTCATGGACTGCAGAGTAGTTTTGCCTGTATGAACTTAAATTCGTTCTTGAATAATTCAGAATGAAATTTCTGTTAACAATGTTTTCAAATTCGGACTGTCTCTTGTCTTCCATTCTAATAAATCAAATATTACTACTTCACCTTATATTGACTAATATTGATATTGCTTATTGAAAATGTAACCATATATTGTTGTGATGGAATAGATATTATACTGTTTTCTGTGTTAGATTAATTGCGCGCTACCATATATTTTTTAGTTTGAGTGTTATGTTAAGTACATAAAGATTGTTTAATATGCGAGTTTTACTTAACTTTCAAATGTTTAAATATCTTTTTAGATCAATATAACTCTATAGCTGAAATAATGTGTTTCTATACCCCAACCCACTTTGCAATGAAGCTAAAGGCATACCTGTGGCCCAAGGTTTCTTCACGAACATGTCAAATCATCCAAAGCTGCGAAAACAATGAATAACTTTCTAGACAAAGGATCATTTTTAACTTAAGCTGGAAGTAAATACCTATAGATATTTTTATGGATACCTGTACCACCTAAAACAAATAAGTGAAGACGTCTAAAATGTTAACACTGATTGAAGTTTTTTCTAAAGCACGTGGTGTGTTCGATTCCAGTTTAGAACTGTGCTGCTTAATCAACAACTCTATTTGTAACGTTCGAAATATAAATCTTCGGGTAATTAAAAAAATTAAGGGGATGAATGTCATCCATATCAGAAATGTTCATTAACTTTTTATCTTTGTAATTGTAGAGACATTTTTTCTCGACATGTAAATTCACTCTCAATAATACAATTAGATTAAAATCAGTACAATGTTTATTAATCCTCTGCAGATCTTTTTATCTGCTTACCATAATCAGATACCTATAAAATGTCCACATGCAGTTGGGACACATTTTGTTACCTTATTCAAAAATGCTCCGGTCAAACTACAAGTGGCGGATTTTTTTAGTATCTTTAGGTACAATTTCTATATGTGTAAGTGCCTTGTTGATTAGCACAGTTAAACGGATGACCTAAAAAGCTTCCAACTACCCAAAACTTTTAGTTTTAACTTTCATATATCATGCAAAATGCAATTGCAGTCGATGCAGCAGTCTATGCAAACATTTTGTATACGAGGGATGTCTTTTAAGTTTTGCATATGGAAATAAAACAACCTGGTAGGTAGTTGTCTTTGTTGTTTTTCGAAGTATTCTCCACGAAGGTTAATATACATCTGCATGCGCTCTAACCAATTTCCGAAGCACTTATTCCACTCGTTTGCTGGCAGATCCAAATCGGCGTTTTTGAATGCATCAACTGCTTCTTCTGGTGACTGGAACCTTTGACCACGCAGTCTGTTTTTAATTTTCGGGAAAGTAAAGAAATCGTTAGGACTTAGATCAGGACTATATGGAGGATGGTCCAATAATTCCACGTTCCACTGTGTGCGAGCTTGCACTGTCTTGGTAGAGGATGATTCTTTTTTCGAGGTTCGAAGCTCAGTGATGACTTTTGGCAAACAAATGGTGGTATACCAATCCGCAGTAACAGTTATTTGCTCATTAAGAGGAATTGTTGCAATATGATCCGCTTTTGAGACAAATGTCGCTAACATCTTTTTCGAAACACTTCGAGAACGGATGACTTTTGTTGGCTTTTCTTCACGTTGGAACACCCAAACAGCCGACTGTCGTTTATTTTCTGGTTCATAGCAGTAAATCCACGATTCATCGCCACTAACAATGCTGTACACATTTTTTGAGTTTCCTGAATTGAAACGGTCAAGCGTTTTTTGACACCAATTAACCCTGGCTGCTTACCGCTCTTCAGTCAACAGGTGGGGTATCCAACGAGAAACTAATTTTCTTACTCCTAATTCTTCATGTAAATTGAGGTCTTTGAGATCTTCAAGGACGCCTCAATCTCGCGATATGTCACATGATCAATGTCAATGATGAGTTTGCGGACAGCATCGACGTTTTCCTGGGTGACTGCCATTTTTGGTGCACCCACCCTGGGATCGTCGCTAAGACTCACCCGTCCACGTTTGAATTCCCCATACCAACGGAAAATTGTCAACTGATGTGGCGGTTCGTTGCCGAAAAAAGACAGTAACTCAGCAAGGCATTCTTGTTGCGATAATTGCCTCTGAGAGTTGTAATAAATTATTGCGTGAAAATGTTCTCGGTTGAGTTCAATTTTTCTAATGACTTGATGACACTTAAAAATTCACTGTAGTGAGAATACTGCACGTATTGTTGTGAAACTTTGAATTTATGTTTACTAAAGAGTGAGGTTAAGATTCAGTACTGACGTTCGATCCGCACGGCCTACTATGTTTCTGTATGCAAAACTTAAAAGACGTCCCTCGTATACACACTATGGTATAATCAAATGTTTTCTATATCATTTGGAGTTCGGCTCTGACTTCAAATCAATGTTATAGCTTTTGCTTTGCCTTGCATACATGAGTAATGCACAAGTTGTAAGAAAGAGCACTGAAGCGACATCTACACGATGGAGATCCCGTGAGTCAATACATAAAGTAACTACAAATTTAAAGCTACGTAAATTTGAAAGAATATTTTTTGACATTGATTGTGTTTTCTATGTATACAAGGATTGTATATATAACAACATATAAGAGCAAATTAACAAAGCTTTATAGTCTCAATTCATAGATTAACTCACTGACGAGATGTGAATTTTTTCAGCCATACGTTAATGTGACAGTATTCTATGAAACATTTTGCCCTTTGTTCAGAAGCTTCATATCCGAACAACTATATCCCACGTATAAGTACTTAGGTGGGAATAACATCAACCTTGAGCTGGTACCATTTGGCTGGGCTAAAGTAAGTAGGTCTATACTAAAATAAAGGGTTGTCCAATAGGGACGCAGGAAAGTAAACGTCAATTTGACATAGACGCCATCTTTGTTTTCTGTCACCGACATGTCATTTTGTTATTTGAATGTTTACCATTGATTGCTATGGAGTCGTATTCGGTTGAAGACCGCATTAAAGTTATTCAAGAGCACTACAAAAATGGTGCAAAAATAAAAAACACGTTTCGCGCGCTTCGTGAACATTTCGGTCGCAACAACCGCCCAAACGAAACAACCATCGGTCGTCTGGTGCGTAAATTCGAAGGCAACAGGTTCTGTCGCAAATCTGCCAGGCTCTGGCCAAGATCGTGCGATTTGACTCCCTTGGACTTCCTTTTATGGGGATATTTGAAAAGCAAAGTCTACGTCAACAAACCAGCCACCCTGCAAGAACTCAAAAACAACATAATTGCCGAGATAAATGCCATAGAACCGACCATGTTGCAAAATGTCATTGAAAATTTCGACCATCGCGTGGACGTCTGTAAATCCAGTCGTAGTGAACATTTGAGCGATATTATTTTTCATACATAAATGGTATAAATGAACCTTCAAAATAAAGTACCCAACTTGATTTGAATATCCATCTTTCTTGTTTTAATATGCGTTTACTTTATATATTGTCATTGGTACGAATCAATCTTGAATCCAAAAAGGGAACATATTGATTGTCATCTTCTTTTTCAATAGTGAACTGGATGTAAGGATCATAACTGTTAAAGACCTCATCAATATCATCCACCCTATCATAAGGAAGACAAACGATTATATCGTCCACATATTTTTTAATAAAAATTAGACTGTATGGCAATACTTGAATAACAAGCAGGTCATCCATTACATATTCTGCCAAAATTGGAGATAAAACAGAGCCCATGGGGCAGCCATGTGTTTGTGAAAGCACTTTGTTATTAAAGGTAGTAAAGGTTCTGGAATGTATCTGATAAAATCTGAAGAAGTGTATCTAGTGTTTTAGTTATCCTATCCAACTTTAGTATTAAGGGTCATTTTAAAAGTATTCATGCTTTGTCCTTATTCAGTTCCATCAGTGATGCAGAAATTTACAATACCTTGTATCTAGGCAATGGGACATTTTTATACAAGTCGTCATAGGATCTTTTGTCACTTTTAAACCTATTTTCTGTCCTCCAAAAAATATTGATATCGCTTTTGATTCACCCTGTTTATCATCCACTTTTAAGATTGCTATTTTCAATATCTGTTTGAATTTTTATGTTTTGATATATGACTGGTATCTTCAACTGTTTATCAGAAAATTTGATATATATTTTTTGATATTGTAGGATACAGCTGAAACATGAAACGTTTGTTCAATCTGAACCTTCTAAGCCATTGTAAGTCAAGCAAGATGTCACATATTTAAAATTATGCATAAAATATATTTTATATTTTGTAGTTTCAATCTGGAAGATTCACCATCATCAAGTTCTTCTAAAACTTGGAGTGCCTCACCTGCAACTGTGACAGCCTCAGAAAAGGGTTATGAATCAGATGTGTTTACTGAATCTGTTCAAGCAAAAAAAGAAAAGAAAGAGGTACAAAACCATACTATCAGCAATAAATTCTTGAGTCAATGTCTATAGACAATGTTCATATACAGAGCAGGCCAGCTATGTCTGTAGTCTGAAGTTTCACGGTATATGAGAGAGAGGGAAGAAAGAGAACCGTACAACACATTATGTTAGAAAGAATGCATGGCAAGCTACAACAATGGTCTGCAACCATTGTTTCTGTCACTGCTAGGTAACATGGTGATTGGTGCACTATTTCTTAGATGTTTTTATTATATCCGTCTCTTGTTTCCCATTATCTCATACACTCTAAAACATCAGACCTCAAACGTTGCTGTGCCGCCCTGCATATGCACTTCAGTATATACAGTGCTTTTCAAAGAGACCTCCCGTATTTTCAAGCAAGTTGAAATTTGGGACATATTTTAGCGTAGAAATGTCAGAATGTTCCATGTTTCACTGCACATTTAGACAGATCTTTAAACAAAAAGAAGATTGATTCCGTTAGCCCAAATTCTTATTTGCTAATTTGGCCAATTCAAAAAACACGTAGGAGAGGGGGCTTTTGAAAATCACTGTAAATACATAAACACACTGAACACTGATACCTCTTTGTCATCTGTAAAATTAGTCATTCACAATATTCATAATGACGGTCTTGTTATTGTAGGAAGAGGTATCTGGGAGATTTGACCAGTAGCGACTTTTCAACAACTGAGAAGAGAAAATGGAATTTTCTTGCTTAAATTGGAAAGATGGAAAGTACTGTCAGAGATTTTTATAACCCTGTTCTTCATTTGTTTCACCAGGGTTATTTTTATTATAAGTTCATGGTAAGACCTGAAGTTCAGGAACCTTCCGGAATAAATTGGTTTCCTGTACCAGTCTACCAGTAATAATGGGTTGTCCAATAGGGAGGCAGGAAAGTAAACTTCAATTTGACATAGACGCCATCTTTGTTTTCTGTCACCGACATGTCATTTTGTTAGTTGAATGTTTACCACTGATCGCTATGGAGTCGTATTCGATTGAAGACCGCATTAAAGTTATTCAAGAGCACTACAAAAATGGTGCAAAAATAAAAAACACGTTTCGCGCGCTTCGTGAACATTTCGGTCGCAACAACCGCCCAAATGAAACAACCATCGGTCGTTTGGTGCGTAAATTCGAGGCAACAGGTTCTGTGGCAAATCTGCCAGGCTCTGGCTGGCCAAGGAGCGTTCGCACACCGGAAAATATTGCTGTTGTGAAGGAGAGTGTGAGAGACGATTCGAAACAATCAACAACGCGTCGATCCCAAGAATTGGGCATTTCGAGAACCAGTTTGCTCCGCATTCTCCGCAAGGATTTGAATGTACACGCCTACAAGGTCCAATTGACGCAAGAGCTGCGTCGGGCCGACCATTTTTCGCGCCGAATGTCCTCAGATTGGCTCCTTGAACACCGCCAAATTGATGCCAATTGTTCATCAAAAATCATGTTCAGCGACGAAGCGTATTTCACTTTGAATGGGACGGTAAACAAGCAAAACTGCCGCATCTGGGCGAACGAAAATCCCCGTGAGTATCAAGAGCAGCCGGTGCATCCTCAAAAAGTGACTGTGTGGTGTGCATTGTGGTCAAAAGGCATCATTGGACCTTACTTTTTCGAAAATGCGGCCGGGGACGCCGTTACCGTCAATTCTGAGCGATATCACGTGATGATACGAGGACTATTTTTTGCCGCAACTTGAAGGAATGGATATGGACGATGTTTATTCCCAACAAGACGGTGCAACATGCCACACAACCAACGTCAATATCCATTGATTCCAGTCCTTCTTCCGTGATCGCGTGATTTCGCGCAGAGGAAATGTGCCATGGCCACCAAGATCGTGCGATTTGACTCACTTGGACTTCTTTTTATGGGGATATTTGAAAAGCAATGTCTACGTCAACAAACTAGCCACCCTCCAAGAACTCAAAAACAACATCATTGCCGAGATAAATGCCATAGAACCGACCATGTTGCAAAATGTCATTGAAAATTTCGACCATCGCGTGGACGTCTGTAAATCCAGTCATGGTGAACATTTGAGGGATATTATTTTTCATACATAAATGGTATAAATGAACCTCCAAAAAAAAGGACCCAACTTGATTTGAATATCAATCTTTCTTGTTTTAATGTGCGTTTACTTTCCTGCGTCCGTTTTGGACAACCCCATACTGTTTGTTGCTCAAATATTATAAGATTGTCAGTATTGGTATACTGACAGTGGTCTGTCGTTTAACATGAAAGTAACTAAACAAATATTAATTGGTGGTGGAGTTGTGGCAAATGTGATTTATAATATAAACAGTCGCTTCTAAGATTAAGAAGTTCTACTACAGGTAAAGAAGCGAAAACATCTGATTGCACATTAACAAAATTCATTTGAAATCAAGCGACTCAACGATATACGAGTACATATATACTTACTGGGCTTGTGAATGATTCACTTTACCTGCATGTAATTGATCCCTGCTTTTATTATAACCAGGATTTATTTTATAAGCCATTGTTTTGTTACCTGTGGCGAGTCAATACCAAACTGTACTTTGCAGGTACAGGTATTTACATTTTATAAAGCAGATGACTTCTTTTATTTGAAATGTGCCCTTCCTGGTAGATTAATACTGGCACAAAGATGAAATTATGGACTTGCCTATCTAACTTATTACACAATACTTAGAATAAGATGTGGAATAAACCTTAACTGTCACGTAAAATGTAAACATGTCATAGTTAGAAACAAAATCAATTACAGGTGCAATAAGTCAATCCTTATTCCCACAACATTACTTGTCAACACGGTGAGAAAGACTGCATGCATGTGCTTTGCATTTGTATCCCATTGACATAAGTTTGAAGTTCATAAATTGTACATTATCCTATAGCGATCCAGTATATGGTAACGTACTTAGAGAAGTAAGTGTTTAACAATTGTTTTTATATTCTCTTGAAAAGGTATCTCATACAGCTCAAGGATTATTTGAAATGTTAGCAAATATTTACCTAGTCGAAATTATCAGTAAGACAATACTTGGGAAATGTTAACTTATCAAAGTGGTTCGATATATGGTTCGTAATTAGTTAGAACACAAAACTGGGAGTTCGAGAAACTCGTAGAGATCTAAAATTCGACAACCGGATTAGACAACAACAGTTGTAAAATTAAGTAAGCGAATCCACACAGCGAATAAAGTCTCACTACTATCATTCTATCCTAACGATATACCAACTTACGTCAGATCAAGGCCCAAGAGATACGAGCATAATCGGCCCGAATCCTGAAACAGGCTAAGACACATAAATGCAATCTAAAATCGAAATAACCAAAAGCTCCAAAGGAAATCAACACTGATCAAAACATCCTTATTCTGCCGGCTGACAAAAAAGACGCCGTGGAAATGAATGCCGAAGTTTACAAAGTAGAGATGGAGGAATTATCCGAGCCAGACATTTACCGTACATTACCAAAACACCTGACGAAGAGCATAATAAGTCAGACCAAAACAATCGTAAAAAATGCTCCCGCCTCGACGAAGTAGTTAAAGTTGCAAAAATGAAACTCAAACGCCTAAGCTTCATGGGCCACTAGACGATCCATCAAGGAAATATTGACTAACAACTCAAAAAATAAATATTATTGCGATCGGGAAATGATAACCTGTGCCGACTTTCGGTCAAACTTTGTACTTGAAAGTTAATATGGAAGCTATGTATGGATATCAAAACCTAATTCTTATTCGACAAGTAGGACACTGCTTTATTTGTATCTTATATTTCTTAGATATTCATCGTTCCAAAGTTTTCTTTTTACAGCCACGATATACCTGCCCGTAATAAAAATTGTTTTTGTTCCTCATCGGCAGTGATTAATCCATGGAAGTCTTGCATTAACTTAACTGCTCTTTCTGCCTTATAGTTAACTGCTCTCGGTGTTTGCACCTTATTCTTAGCGTATTGAAAAGAATCATTATATGGCCGTGAATTTGAACAATCGTCGAGAAAACTGTCCCCAATTTTGAGTCGACTGAACAAGGACTTATTTGTGATTGAAACAAAGTAATCAATATTTTTCTTTGAAATGAAAAAACGAAGAATAGCTACCATGTGAACATACTGGTTTTGTCCATCCGACCACAGACAGTCAACCATGGACAGATATCTTGTGCTTTTTAGTTCATCATCATCGTCCAAGCCTGACCTCAGGTCAGGGCAACGAACAAAAGCATAGCAGCTTAGCTCTCTCTGAAGTATAAGATCTATCGAAACAAGACAGTATAAGGTGCCATATATTGCCAGCATCGCAATTTATGCTGGCTTATTTCAACAGTTAGCATATTATATCGGAGCAGTAACACAAGCCAAAAGTAAATTTATTCGTCACATGTACCATACAGTGGACAAGAAACATCTTCGTTCGATGAGATGTAGCGTTTACCGCGGTCTGATGGACTTTCTTTGACTACAATTTTTACTTTAGCTTCCTCATCTACGTCATTGTCCATCAGAGCGATCCGTGGGATCTTCGCTCTTTATTAGTACTCTTAGTGTCGTAGGTCTGTAGGTCTGTCAGGAAGGTTGCTCAGATACCAGACGAAGTCAGAGAGAAAGAAAGGAAGAATAAAGGAAGGAAGGGAAAGAGCAAAGAGGGTGAAGTGCGTCAGTTAAAGGGGTGCCTTGATTTCGTTAACTGGTATTCGGTTTTTTAAATTGATCCAAAAATTATTTTAGAAATTTGTACGTGTGGCAAAAGTCGTAATTTTGGTTGGACCTAGAATCGCATGACTTGATTTTGTTCATAGTGCGAACGGCGGTCTTGTGTGCTTGCGAACGTGCTCGACTGTGTAGTCTTCAGAGTGTTGCTGTGCGATTCCGCTTGACTATAACGTAACTGCGCCTGCTGTTTGATGTACTCTTTAGGTAAGTGATGTTGAGGACTCTGTGAAGCGTCTCGTTGGAGACATGCCATGGTGCGTTAGTGATGGTTCACAAGGTTCTGTTCTGCAAAACCTGCAGATTACGCAAATGCGTTTTGGCGAGAAAACACCATGCTGCCCATGCGTAAGTGATTGCTGGTCTGATAATCATCTTGTATAGCCGAACTTTGTTGAGCAAACTAAATTTTGAGGTTTTATATAGCATAGGTAACGTTGCCGAAATGTAACTCGGAATTTGGTACTCAACGCTTTAGCGAGCTAGTGCCAAGTCATTCCCCTGTCAAGAGTAACATCGAGATGCATGGTATGCGAGCTCCATTCACTGAAACCTCAGGCGAGGCGCCTCTACGTTTTTTAGTACAATAGATAAGCTGCGATTTCGAGTAATTAATGTTGATTTGATACCAATCTGCCCATTCCAATACCTCAGCCACCGCACTTTGTAGCCTGTCGTGAACCAGATTCCTAGAACGCGACTCTGCCACAAGTGCAGTGTCATCAGCATATAGCCAGACTTCACAGTCGCTGGGGCAAGAGACATCATGCGTGAAAAGTGAGTAGAGGAACTTAACCCTAAGGGACGTCGGCTTTGATGGGCCGTACTATTGACAAGACATTAATAATTTTGGTCCGAAATTTCCTACCTCCAAGAAAGGATTCCAAAGGTTTTGGGAACCAAAATGGAAGGCGCTTTTGAATTAG